GGCGTTTTCGAGGAGCGATATCTTCCAATGCGGAATCTACGTGGGCCCTCGGCGTGATGCTCGCAGCCAACTCTCCCAGAATCTCTTCCTCCCCTTTCGCCGACCGGAGGATTTCCAATCGCCAGGGGGAGAGGATGGCGGCCCATTGCGACAGACGACCTTGCAGTCCTTCAGACCGGAATAGCCAACCCAGGGTTGTATGTCGGGTCAACACGCGTATCGTCTTTCCCACCAGCATGTTGTGGCACTTGTTCAAGACACGCAACAACGCTAGGATCTCCTTCTCGGTGATGCTGTAGTTCAGCTCGTTGGGCTTCAACATCCGCCTAGCGAACTTGACAGGCATGTACACTCCGTCATGATCTTGAGTGAGGACGGCCGATACGGCCGCGTACACAATCACCACTGGTTATCTATCCGCGTCGAAATGCTTTAGCATCGGGGTAGCCGCGATCTTGCGGCGAAGTGTCGCGAACGCGCGTTCAGCGTGATCCCACTTTTCCACGTCACGCGTTTCTGGATTCGTGGCGCGTTCCTCGAAGTTGCGGGCTGAGAGGGAGTAGAGCGCGGTGGCAAAGATTGCGAAGTCGGGGATAAAGCGGTGGTAGTAATTTAGACTACCCAAGAACGACTGTAACCCCTTTTGCGTGCAAAATCCAGCACCGCTAGTGCTTCCAAGTTCTTTGGCTTCGCCCCGAGTCCGTTTTCCGAAACCTCGTGCCCCAAGTAATCCACTCTTGGAATTCCTCATTCGCTTTTCTCGACACTGATCGACAAGTGCCACTCTTCGCAAACTTCGAGGAGACGTTCCACCTTCTCGCACAAGTCATCCCAAGACTTTCCCCCGATCAGAATATCGTCAATATAGGACCGTCGACCAAGCACGGACCGTGTTCCAGGCTTGGACAGGACCCTGTCCTGGAAAACGTCGCGGGTATCTTCCGTCAGCGAGAGTTTCCAGAAGCCGTACAGCGCGTTGTCTATCAACCGCCGGTATATCTGTGGTGCGTTGCATAAACCGAATGGCATACGCAGCCACTCGAACACCCCGAATGGTGTGATGAACGCGGAGATGAGAATGTTCGGTCCGTCATCGGGACTACCTAAAATCCGCTGGCCATGTCTAAGGAGCAGTACCATCGGTTCTTATCCAAATATTCCAAGAGGTCCGTGACCAGTGGCATCGGGTACACCATCAACTAGGTCAAACCGTTGCCCAACCTGTAGTCGACACAGAGCCTGATGTCGACGCCGTTCTTCTTCACGATGACGACGATGGGGGAAGCCCAAGGTAACTTCGGCGCGCGGATCATACCCGCGCTGAGGAGTCCTTGGATCATATCGGCTAGTTTCTCGCGAAACTGCGACGAGAACTTCCGGACGCGTTCTGCGACGGGCCTCGTGTTTCCCACGTCGATGTCGCAGATGACACCCTTTTTCCCACATCGATGTCGCAGATGACACCCTTTGCTGCAGGTGGTAGAGCGTTGCCCTTCCCGATCAACCATTTACGCTTCTTCCAGACGATCTGGCGCAGCCGTTCTTCCATCTCTGCAGCTTCCTCCGGGTCAACTCCTTCCGGACGCCCGATTTTGAGATCCTCGATCTTCACTTCTGCCGTCAACGGAACCTCTGGCAACACTGCCATTTCGGCTTCCACGTCTTCTGCGAATAAGTCTGACCCTTCATGGGATATCACTTCCTCGTCGGCGTACTCGTACTCTGGAATCTCCTTGAAGCTAGGGTCGGACTCTTCCGTCGACCCCATCTTGAGATGCGGTCCGTGCTCGGGCTCCGCGCCAAGACGTGTTCCGTGCTCGAGCTTCGGAGAGAGGGCGTCCCGAGTCTTCACTGCATCAATGAACTCAGTATTATCTTCCCGTGAAACGGTTGATATCGCCGCTACCTTTCTCCCTTAGTGCTCTCCCTGCGGGTCCCCTGGCTTCTCTGATCGGCCCAGGATCGCTTGTGGATCGGCATACTCTCGCCGTTCCGTCATTGGGCCGCTAGTCTCTTGGAATATGGCTTCGTCATTTACGTCCGAAGTCGCTCCATACGCCAAGTTTTGCCACTCGTCGTACTTTCGTGATCCAGGTTGTACGAACCCAAACGCGCGAGATAGGCGCCCACCATCCAATTGTTGTATGTGCGTCCAGCACGGTCGACTTCTCTCCGATGTTCGTAACGCGCAAGTATGTACGACGTCCGACGGGAGCCTTGATCAGGGAAGTTACTCACGTCGCTCCTCGCGTCATTCACAAGCGCGGTATATTCTTCTCTGGTCGTAACGGCACGTCGTAGGTCTGAGCGGCGACGCGGATCAACGACGGGATCGTCACCGGACGCATCCGCGATCCGTACAACGGTCGTCTCCCGATCATCTGGATGCGGACTTCATCTGGGAGGCGCACTGTACCGTCCGCAGTATCTATCCGCACCCATGCTGGCACCATGAAGTTCATCCCGAAGATCGCGTTCTGGCCGACCAGGTCTCCGACCCAAAGGTCCATGTAGTACACCATGTTCCCT